CACCAACTCTCTTCTTGGTTACCATTTATCAGTCCTTGAGGTAGCTCTGAGGGACAATTTTAAATAGGTATTTTTATTTCATTAACTATTTTCAGTGATTGGTCTTGTGTATTGACTATGGTTATTTTTATTATGTACATTAAAAAGACTGAGACTTTAAGAATTAAAATAATTTGATGTTCTTGATAGGAATGCATTTATCAGATTTTGAAATAGGAATGTTTCCAAAAATGTGCATTAAATTTTCCAGATTTTAGCCCTAGCCAGTTTGGCTCAGTGGCTAGAGTGTTGGCCTGCAGACTGAAGGGTGGCATGTTCAATTCCCATCAAGGACACATGCCCAGGATGTTCAGGAGGCAGCCAATCAATGATTCCCTCTCATCATTGATGTTTCTATCTCTCTCTTTCATTCTCCTTTCTTCTGAAATCAACAAAAGTATTTTAAAAAATGTATTTTTCCAGATTTTATAAATTCTTTTCTAACTACTGATAAACTAAACACTATCCTGAACTTTTAATGTATTTATTTATTATTAAAATTGAAAATACCCTTATTAGGAAGTGAAACAAAGATATATTATTGAAAAGTTTGCTCCCCAAAATGAGTGGTTGTTATCTTTCTTGTGTGTGTGTGTGTGTGTGTGTGTGTTGTGTGTGTGTGTTCAGTTGCTTAGTTTTTATATTTTGCTTCGTAAATGTTTGTCTTCTTTGACTAGCTTTGGAATCAAAATGCAAATATCTCTTCACCTTGTATACTGTGCTTTAATTAATCACAGGATTACTTTAGTTTCTTAGTGAATTCAGCTAATCTTTTAAAACTATTTTTAACATTGGGGTTAAGACAAACACTCTTACTGTGTCATATTTGTAGGTATTAGTGATAGAACAGAAAAATGAAGACGGAACATGGCCAAGGGGTCCTTCTACTCCTAAGTAAGTGCTCCCAGTTTTTATGGCATATTACATGATTTAGTAGCCTTTGATTTGAGACGAAATCCAGAATGATAGATGAATCTTAATTGTATGTTGTATGTACCTTCTTTATACTTTAATATTTCCCTCAGTATAGAAGTTATCTAAATTTGCATTTAAATTAATGTGCTATTACTAAAAAGGCTTCCAATTCAAATCTTTTTTAGAATGAGGTGTAGTATAAATGTTATGTTATATTGTCTAATACAGTTAAATCACTATTAAACATTTTCTTTAATATTTTGTTTCAGGCTTTTGATATTTCTCAAGTGTCTGTTAAAAATGTTCTTTATCACAATGATTTTGATGTGAAAGTATAAAACATGTTTAAAATATTTTGATGTGAAAGTATTTTTACTGCAATGATTTCTATGTGAAAGTATTTTTATTAAAACATGTTTAAAAATATTCTTTACTGCAATGATTTCGATGTGAAAGTATTTTTATTAAAACATGTTTTAGAATATGAAAGCACAAGTAGAGATACATGAGTATAAGAATTGCTTTTAATTGTAAATGAGGGCTGAAAAAAAATAGAAATCTTTTAAAACATTTTTTAAACTGTGGTAAGATCTATCCTCAAAACAATTTTTTAAGTTCACAATACAGTGTTGTTAACTCTAGGCATATTGTTGTACAGCAAATTTTTAGAATTTATTCATTTTGTACAACTGAAACTTTATTCCTGTTGAACACTATCTTTCCATTTCTTCCTTCCTCCAGCAGCTACCATTTTACTTTGTTTCCATGAGTTTTACTAGTTAGATACATCATAAATTAGAATTATGCAGTATTTGTCCTTCTGTGAAGTTAATTTTACCTAGCAGAATATCCCCCAGGCTTATCCATGTTATCTCACAGGGCAGGGTTTTCTTTTCTTTTTAAGACTGAATAGTATTCCATTCTCTGTGTATACACATTTTCTTTATTCGTTCATTTGTTGATAGAAGTTTAGGTTATTTCCATATTTTAGCTATTGTGAATTGTACTGCAATGAACAAGGGAGGGCAGATATTTCTTCAATATACTGGTTTTGGTTCTTCTGGATATATGCCCAGAAATGAGATTTCTGGATAATATTGTATTTCTATTTTTAATTTTTTAAGGATCCTTCATACAGTTTTCTATAGCAGCTGCATTATTTTATATTTTCACCAATAGCATACAAGGATTTTAATTTCTCATCCTTGTTAACACTTATCTTTTGTTCTTTTGATAATAGTATAAGGAGTTAATCTTATGGTTTTGATTTGCATTTATACTATGATTACTGCTACTGAGCATCTTTACCTGTTGACCATTTGTATGTGTTCTTTGGAGAAATGTCTACTCGAGTCATAGGCCCATTTTTTTTAACTGTTATTTGGTTTTTAGCTATTGAATTGTAGGGGTTCCTTATATTTTTTGGATATTAACTCTTTGTCAGATATGTGGTATAAAGATTTAAAAATAAAGCCTGAATCCATAAAACTTCTAGAACTTAAGGCAAATGCTTAATGACATTGGTCTAGTAAGTGATTTTTTTATTATGACACCAGAAGCATAGGCACAAAAGCAAAAATAGATGGGACTATATCAAACTAAAAAGTTTGTCCACGGTAAAAGAAACAATCAAGCCCTGGATGATGCAGCTCGGTTGGAACATCATTGGGTGCACCGAAGGGTTGCTGGTTCAATTCCCAATCAGGGCACAATGCCAAGGTTGCAGATTCAATCCCTAATTGGGGCACATACAGGAGACTACCAATTAATGTTTCTCTCTCATATTGATGTTTCTCTATGTCTTCCCCCTTTCCTTTCCTTTCTCTGTAAAATTAAAAAAAAAAAATTATAAGATAAACAATTAACATAGTAAAAAGATAACATACAGGATAAAGATATATTAAAACACACACTCTCTTAGGGCTAGTTATATTTTTTAATGTTTTTATTGACTTGTGAGAGAAATATCTATTGGTGCCTCCTGCATGCCCCCTATTGGGGATGGATCCTGCAACTCAGACATGTGCCCTGACCAGGAGTTGATACATGGGAGGAAACTCAACCAAATGAGCTACACCAGCGAGGACAGGGCTAGTTGTATTTTAATATTCAGATTTCTTATACCTTTGAGGAGAAAATATGGTACAAATGCCTCCTGTTATTTTATATTTCAATAGAGTCCAGGATATCTGTCATAATCAAACACATTAATATTCAGCAAATATTTATACTTGATATGATAAATAAGGACCATAAATATCCTCATATCGGTTAGATTACCCTCAAATGAATTGTGAAAATATTTTTTAAGTTTTCAGAGATTTGGGAATTCTAGGTTTTTAAATAAGAGATTGTGGACCTGTATTTTAAAATGCTTAAAATAATGGTTCTTCAATAAGTTAATGATATTTTATATTTGCTAACCTCGTAAATAAAAGAGAAGAATGACCTGATACTTAATTTTCTTCAAACTAAAATGCACCTTTCATTACCTTTTTATCTTATGTAAAGTTATTCTATTTAAATTTCATGAGAATGTGCCTGAGTATATTACAATTTATTTTTATTCCACTTAGTTGCATATAATACAAGGTTAGAACTTAACATAAGAAGATTATAAAAGCACATAGTAGAATTGTGTAGATTTTTTGATTGATGAAGTTTTAGAAGTTAGGAATAATTTCTTTGTGAATATTCACATTTAGTCTCTAGATTAGAACTAGTATTGTTCTTTGCTAGTTTATCTTTAGATGTTATATATGTTTTACTAGAGGCCCGGTGTATGGATGCTTGCACCGGTGGGGTCCCTCAGCCTGGCCTGTGCCCTCTCCGGGACCCCTCTGGGGATGTCAGACTCTGGTTTTAGCTCAATCCCTGCAGGCAAGGCCGAGGGACCCCACCAGTGTACCAATTTGTGCACTGGACCTCTACTATGCATATAAGATCTTTAGATAGTCTCTTTCTACCCTCCCCCTTTCCTTCTGAGATTCATCAGTCTGTTCCATGTTTCCATGCCTGTGCATTGAGCATCTGCCCCCTGATGGTCAGTGCATGTCATAGCGAATAGTTTTAAATAATTCTTGATATTACAAAATTGCTTGTGAGTTAATATAAAAGCACCATGAATTCCAAAGATTTGAGAGATATTTTCAACTTAAAATTACAGAATTTCACAGATAGAAACTAGTTATATATTTTCTTTTATCATCTCTATGTGCTAATACAATACCATTTTTGTTTACTTAAACAGTTGTAGTAATTGTTTGTAAGGAAAAACACAGTTTCTTTTTTTTTTTTTTTGCACGTTTTATTTTTATTTGAATTGGCCAATAAAAATGTTCTGTACATGGTAAACACTTCACCATGAAATATTTAAAGTAAAAATAAATAAGTTACTTCCATCCTACAGACATCTCCAGCTGCCACATACAAATAGAGGACATCAGCTGTAAAGTAAATACGTTAACATAAATAGTCTTAGGATACTCTCTGATTGATGGGGTCAGTTTAAATCACCTGCTGAAATCATTCTACCAAAGCAAGGTAATTTCAGGAAACATCAGCACTCAACATTTGATTTTTAATTGTTTTTTTTTCTATTGAAAAACTGCACATAAAAGAACAGAGAATTCATGCAATCATGCCAAATGTTCCTCAAAACCCACGTTGATGATACTCTGGATCGGGTGTTTGCCCTACGAAGTAAATATATAGTGATCTGTGATGGAAAAGCCTTCCTCGTCAAGAGGAAATAAATGTGACGCCAGGAAGAGTAAGAACCATCATGTTTACAGGTGCCGCAAACACCAAGCTCTTACGTTTACACAGAAATCACACGTATTAGAATGACTCACAAGGAAGACAGAAGAATCACCTGCTTCCTTCCTTGGAGGTCTTTAAAATGGGTTGGGACAATTTTATTTTGGTGTGGTTTTGCTTAAACATGGAGATATAAGCTTATGATCTTCCAAAGTCACTGTCTGCCCAGGGGCTTAAGCTATTCTAAGAAGGAACGGCCCTTGTTTTTTTTTGTTTGTTTGTTTGTTTTTTACCTTCGAGGGAAGCTCCTTTTGTGCATCCTAGGCTGGGGGATTGGGTAGTGAGGGAGGGTGATAGGATGTGTTTGTACCAGGTACTTGCAGAGGTAAATGTGTTCATGAGGCTCCATTCCAATCCAGCGTTCTCCCTCCGTGCAGTGACCTTTGTTTTGCACGTGGGAAGGTCGCCTTTAGTCGGCCTCAAAGGCGCTGTTGGTCGCTCCCACGTACTCGGCCTTCTTATGCCTCACCCACATTTTCCGGAGGATGCTGGGGATGCCGCAGCACACACTTCCTGTCAGCGGCAGGGAGGCTTCTGCTCCCTGGGGAAGGGTTGGGTACTCTTCAGTCATCTTCTTGAGATGCCTGGATCCTCTTGTCTGAACAGCTCTGTTGTCAGAGCCGCTGGGAGCGGCCGCCTCCAGGACAGCTGTGGGGGCCTTCACTGAGATCCGGGCCACTGGAGGCATCAAAGACTTTCCGTAGGGCCGACTCCCACGCAGATTGGATGATTTGGGCTCAGCAGGTCCCACCGGTCTGGCAGGAGTCTTGGCCAGGTGGGGTCCCTGCTGCCATGAGCTGTGGAGCCGGCTGAACCTGGGGCCCTCGCAGTCTCGGTGGTCACTGCGGCGTGGCAGCAGCTCCAGGGGCCGGGAAGCGAACAGGTCCGACTCAATCACCACCACAGACAACACTGCACATTGATTGATTTCCAAAAGGGATTCGAAAAACACAGTTTCTTACATAATACCTCACACAATACACATGTAATAAATATTGCTGAAAAAAGGAACTGCAGTAGAGATGCATGGAAGTACAAGTCTCATTTTTCACTGAATCAAACAATTTAATAGGGAATTCATATATTAAAGCCTGAAGAGGTAAGTATCTATTCTTTATACAATATGAGAAATACATATAACAGTATGTCATGAATTGTCAAATGAGAGTTTATTAGCATACAACATTTTTTAAAATTATCACCTGTATATGAAAAGACTCAGAAACTAAAAATAAAGTGAAATTTTGCTAATTTGATAAAGCCTTAAATGCTCAAAATCTATAGTAAACATATTTAATGTTAACACTTTCCTTAGCTATATCTTCTAAGGTACAACTTGATTAAATTGTATTAATTTTTTTTCTTTCTGGTTTCATTTAGATATAATTATTTCAAAGAATGCCTTTGACATTACTAACATTATAGAAATAAGTTCTAAATTTTGCTGAAATAAGTAAAAATTCCTCTTCTGAGAATAGCATGAAAGTTTATTTAATGCAAACATTTGCACTGATAGCTTAAAAATATTCACAAAAGCCATGCATATAAGTATTTGGTGGAAAGAAAGTCAAGGGTCATTGATGATTGTGTCTTGGCAATTTTCATGGGCTAGAAAACAACCAGAGAAGAAATCAGAATTAACCAGATAAGGCATGAGAGGCTGAAAAAAATCAAATGGAAAACTAAGCCAGTAGTTCTTAACTCATTCATTGTCCCTCTGTCACTGTGTTCTGACTAACAGAATTCCAATTTGATGACTGAGACACTAAGTATAAACTTAATCTAGTGCCATATTAATATTTTTGCAGCACTCTCCCTGAGTGTTCTGCCTGGAGAGATGAAGCACTTTATAAATTAAACCATTGCATACTACTTCTGGTTAGGATAAGAGTATTTTCAGGTGACTGAAATAATTCTGTTTCTGTGTTTTTACACTATCTGTTTCAATATTGTACCTATTTAAATGCAAGTAGAAAAACTTACCATATACATCTTTAAAATTTTAGAGAATAATTATGTACAATCCTATATAATAAAAGTATGGTATGCAAATTGCCCCCTCGACTAGGAGTACGACCAGGGGTCAGGGCTGGCCAGGGGAAAGGGCAGCCATGGCCGGCAGCGGCTGGGAACCCTACCAGTCCGTGAATTTCATGCACTGGGCTTCTGATTTGTACATGTAATTGCTGTAGATTAACTGTATAAGTGAATATAGAAATAGTAAATAAAAGTATTTAATTTAAAATTATTAAAATACATATTAGGAAACATATTTCGTTTTTAACAAAAATTATACTGAGACTTTTTAAGTATTATAAACATGATACTCTGCTTACTTGAAATATTAGTAGATTTAGTTATGACTGTTTTGTTTTGGTACTAAAGAGATATAGATTACAGAAAATGCACTTAAAATTTTCTATAAAAGTATACAAATTTGTTACCAATTTTAACCTTGTTCAAATATTGGAAGGAGGGAGTTAAATGATTTTGATTTGTGGTTATTGAGAGAATGGCTCAAGAGCAAGCTTTTCATTCATTTTTATTCATTCATACTTAGATTTTTTAAATTAATATTTTTAATTTGAAATACAACCTATAAGCCATACATCTAGGGTAATATCCCCAAACCTCCAATGTTTTGTCATTTTAAAAGACATTTTGAATTTTTATAAATTTCTCACACATTATCCCCATTAATCTTGTTATTATTATTCCCATTAAGAAAAAGACATTTGGCCGAAATCGGTTTGGCTTAGTAGATAGTGATAGAGCATCGGTCTATGGACTAAGAGGTCTCGGGTTAGATTCCACTTAAGGGCATGTACCTTGGTTGCAAGCACTTCCCCAGTGGGAGGTGTGCAGGAGGCAGCTCATCGATGTTTCTCTCTCATTGATGTTTCTAACTCTATCACTTTCAATTCCTCTCTGTAAAAAATCAATAAAATATATATATTTTTTTAATTAAAAAAAGACATTTGTGACTGTTTCTGAGAATATAAAGTTTGAGGTAATGGTTCAGTCCAACAAAACTGCCTTGGATGCAGTTAAAGATAAGAAACCAAAACTGGGAGAGTAGTGAGAACTGTAGGCATGGAGTTATATTCCAAAAAGTGAGAAACATAAGCATGTATGAATTGTCAAATTAAAAATCTAATAAACTACATATGTTAAACCTTAAAGGATGTCTCTAAGTAATGATACAAGGCGAAAAGATCAAGTAGGATAATTCTAAAGGTTAAGGATAATTTGGATTTTATTTTGTCATAGAGGCTAAAGGAAAAAGAGCATCTAGAAGAATTGAGTATTAGATTGGGACCAATAGTAGTATAAAATAAAAAATCTCTTACCATTTAGCCAGTGTGTTTCCATAGTTAAGTGTCGACCCATGAAACAGGAGTTCACTGTTCAATTCCTGGTTGTGGGCTTGTCCTTAATGGGGGGCTAGGCAGGAGGCAGCCAATCATTGAAAGTTTTTAAATCTCTTACCTATTAGGGATGTGTACTGTATTATTCACAGGTGAAATTATGAATGTCTGATATTTGCTTTAAAATAGTCCAGCAAAAGCATGGGGAAACGGACACTGAGGAGATGATATCGGGTCTAGTAATAATTAATGTCGTTTTTAAACATTCGTTTAAAATCTTGCTTGGTGTTGACTTGTATTGACATAACCTTCAAACACGTGGTGTCTACAGAACGTGTGAAGTGCAATTAACAAGTTTTGCTTGAAAAAGTTTGTGTTTGGTTTGGTTTTTGTTGCAAAACTAGGGCTAAGAAGATGGCGGATGAAGAGCATATTAGGCACTGCATGCTTTACGAGTTCCAATTAGGAAGAAAAGCAAGTGAGGCTGCAAAAAACATCTGTAGTGCTCTTGGTCAAGATGCAGTTAGCGCCAGAAAATGCCAGCGTTGGTTTGAGAAATTTCGCGAGGGAAATTTTTCGTTAGATGACAAGAGTGGTCGAGGCCGTGTGTCCAATTTTGATCAAGAAGCTCTTCAAGCTCTTTTGGTGCAAAATCCTCAAATTACCCAACAAGAGCTTGCGACAACTTTAAATTGTTCACAGAAAACAATTTCCAATCAATTGTGTGCACTTGGCAAAGTCCAAAAGTTTGGAAAATGGGTTCCTCATGAGTTGACCGACAACAACCGTAATCAAAGAGTCACAATTTGCAGTTCGCTCCTCTCTTGTCAAAACCGTTTGCCGTTTTGAGAGCAAATTGTTACCGGAGATGAAGAATGGGTGCTGTATGTTAATTTGAAAAGGCGGCCTCAATGGTTGGACAAAAATGAGGCTCCGCAGCCCACGCCAAAACCTGACTTGCATGCGAAAAAAGTGATGTGTGTTTGGTGGAATTTTAAAGGAATTCTTCATTATGAACTTTTACCATCTACCCAAACCATTACAAGTGCAGTGTATAGTGCCCAATTGGAAAGGTTAGCCCAAGCTTTAAGAGAAAAAGAACCCACGCCGATTAATCGGAACGGCGTAATTCTTCACCACGATAACGCACGACCACATACTGCAAGAATCACTGCTGAAAAACTGCGCCAGTTGGAATGGGAAGTTCTCCCTCAACCTGCATATTCTCCTGATATTGCCCCTTCCGATTACCATTTGTTTCCTTCTTTGCAAAACTGTCTTCTTGGGAAAAAATTTAATAATGAAGAATGCCTCAAAAATGCATTGACCGAATTTTTTGCATCAAAATCACAAGAATTTTACAACAGAGGGATTAAAATGCTTTCTGAGAGTTGGGCACAAGTAGTAGAAAACAACGGCAACTATATTGTTGATTAAATTTTGTTGTATTGTTTAAATAAGTTCGATTTAAAAAGTATTAGAGAACATTTATTATTACTAGACCTAATCAACAATTAGTTTAATACTAGGTTAGTTAAATTTAGTATCTATGACTTAATATCTATGTATAATCTAAACATTTTTCTCTCTTACCTTTTTAGAAATCCATTAGAGAAAAATTGCTAATGAACAGTGTAATATCCAAATTACATCAATGGAAGAGAGCTAAAGGGCTCAGGTTTTAATGAATAGACTGACTAGTCAACCCCTAAAAAAACACACCACAATGTTAACTAGATTGGGCTATGTATAATCTAAGTCAGAAGTTGGAAATCAGAATAGATAAGTGGTCAATAATGTCTGTAACAGCACTTAAAAAGAGTTATCATATTTTAAAACTACCTGTGGACCACATCCATTCCTCCCTTTCTAATCTCCATGCTATTTAAGGGCAATCTCTCCAGTGAAGTTATTTATTCCAATGCTTCCTAGACCTTGTTTTTTCTTTTATTGTCTTTTCTCTCCTATCTATACAAATGCCTAGCATACTGCCACAATACACTACTCAGATAATATTCATTCTTTGTTTCTTGTCTGGAATCATCTTTCCCGAGCCTATAAATATAAATCTCTCCCATATTTTTTAAAGCCATAAACTTCCCCCAAATATGATTCTTTAATTTTTATTTTGATAGCCAATTTCTTTAAAAAGTAAAATTTCTTACTAACCATTCAGAATTTAACAAAGTCCCTACTTTACTTTTTTTGTAACTTAGTTTATTTGACCTTTCTTTAAAACATTTTTAGTAACTATATTCTAAAAAATGTATCTTAATTTGAATCTATTACACTCCAGTTTTTCAAGCACTATTTTTACCTCTCTAACCAATCCTCTGGCTGGCTCTCTTCCTATCCTGGCTGCTATGTTTGGTTGTACAGGTTGTATACTACATCATCCTTTGAGGGTATTGTTCACATTATAATATATGTAAAAGGCCCTCCTTGGCACTGTGCATTATACAACTTCACTGAATATGTGCAGCATCTCTTCTCACACTTTAAATGCATTAATATTTCATACATTTCCATCTGAGGACCTCTCTTTTCATACCATAATAGGCGATCAAAATCAATGGATGGACTCTATGCTAATCCTGTTTTTTAGCTCAAACTGACATTGATAGGCCTTTCCATATTTTTAACGTAGAGCTCTCTGCTGAATTTCATGTTTTTACCTAAATGTCAGGTAGAGCTCACAATGTCAGATTGAACTTAAAATCTTTTTAACCCATGTTCTTCCATCCTCTCAAACTATATCCATATCCTATATTCTTTATTTCAGGTACAATCTGAGAGCCATCTTGAGTTCTTCCTTTAACCTTATTTCTTTTATTTAATTAGTCAACTAGTCTTATAGATTCTGCCTCCTAACCCAAAGTTTTCAAATGTTTTGATCTTGGTACCTCCTTATATTAAAAGTTATTAAGGACCAAAAGAACTTTTGTCATATGTGTTATATCCATTGATGCCTGAATTTTAGAGATTAAAAATAAATGTTTACTTATTTATAAATAATATTACACTATAATATATTGACATTAGTAATATTTTGTGAAAATAACTTTTCTAAAAAATATATGTACTGAGGACAATAGAATTATTCTAAACTTTTGCTAAATTCTCTTCAGTGCTTCTGCATTGAATTTATTGTGATATATTGTTTGTATAAATTCAGCATTACTCAAATATGTGGTTAGAACAAGAAGGAGGGTTTTTTTGATAGTTGATACCATGTTAGAACTCAGCCCATGGTGGTTTAATGATGAAAGGTTAATTATGATGTGGAATCTGATATGTCAGTGAACTTTTTATTCTATTACATTGAAATTTGTCATGTATAACTTCATGCAGTGGAAAATTTTGATTCACTGAATTTTACAGGTATTCCAAATGTTGATATAAATACAATTTTTTTAAATTACACTTGTTAAAACATCACCAGTTTCAGTGAGAAAACATTAAGTAGTAGGAAGCTATCAAGCTCAAATTTTGTTTCCCTTAAAGTAACAGGCTCCCTTCGTGTATTTTTGAGAAAATGCCTGCCAGATTGCCTTTTATGTAAAAGAGTGAAAAGAGTGGATAGTTCACTTGAAATTCAGATAAATGTTTTTTTTCTCATGACAACCAGTATGTAGAAGGTGTGCTTTATGAAAACTTTCTGATTTATTACTCAATATTAAAATAAGTTTAATTAGGGTCATGGTTCAATAAAATCAGTAATTTTATTTTCAACATAGATATTCTGAAGTGAAACCATATTTCTGTTGCAGGGGTGGGGGAGTGGTGAAGAATACAGTGATTCTAGTACATGGTTTGGTGCTACTGCTTTAATTCATGCTAAATGTGTTAGCAGTTTTACCCATCATTGTTTTTAAGCTGTTGGTGCAAATATCCACCCAGTAAAGGGGATCAAATAACTACTTAAATAACACTTTGGTATTATTATGGAAATAGTTTTGACCTCAATAGATGTGCATCATGAAAGGATCTTAGTGTCCCTTAAGGGACCATGGACTGTACTAGCACAACTGGATAAAATCCAAATTCCTTCATAGAACGTAAAATGTCCTATGTTGTCATATCTACCTTACTAACTTCTCCTGTCCCTATATACTTACTCTTTCATCCAAGTTGAATTTATTTATTCCCTATAAATCATAATATCTACAGTTCCATGCATTTGCATGTGCTATTCTATTACCTGGAATATTCTCACTTTCATTTCCTACCTACATCTCCATCTGTGTACATCATTTAAAAATTGCATTTTACTATCCACAAAAATTTTATAGTTTGTTATAATTTTAAATTTTGTCATTGAATTTATACTGCTTTGTAGTTATTTTGCTTTTGTATTATTTTCTATCATTACTTTGTGAGCTGTTTGAGATCAGGAAGAGCTCTGTCTTTAAACTCCTAGTATTTGCCAGTGGTGACGTTTTAGTAAATTTAATCAATGTTAGAATGTTTTAATGAATTTCATAAAAACTTATAATACTATCCTTAGGTAGAGTTGCTGATAAACAGTAAAAAGGCCCCAGATGGGCAGAAAAATAAAATAATATACAGAGTGGGATAAAAGTAGGTTTATAGTTGTGAATACACAAAACAGTTTATTCTTGTATTTTTATTCATTAATTATTGTATTATTTTTTTTGTACAGCTGTAAACCTACTTTTGCCCCACTCCATGTATTATTTTCTTTTTCTGCCCATGTGGGGCCTTTCTACTGTTTTGCCCTGCCCTATATATGTATCTCAGCCACTTGATTGGATGACATAATATATCTTTACTTCCATTATTTTGGCTGTAAGTAAAATTCAAGGGAACATTTCAGTCTATATCTCTGAAAAGTTGTAATGAATTAAATTATAGTCAAATGTGTCGCATTTTTAAAAATTATCCTCCTTTAATTTATTATGCCTTAATTTCTAATAAATTTAGTTTTTTCTAATTTAGCATTCTTAACATGAAGGGGGAAATGCCATGATATTCCTATATTTT